CTCCATTCTCTAGGCTCTGGAAATACTGTTGGCGTAAACCACTGGAACAAACTACCCAGAAGTGAATTCTTTCTCTCTTGACATTTCTAAATAAGACCAAATGCCTTTATGGAAGATATATTTTGTTCAAACAGAAATTATATGGCCCAGTGCAAAAGTACCTGGATGAAACTCTGTGGCCTCTGTTATACAATCAGAGGCCTTTTTGGATCTCAGATCTAGTGATCTTCAAAGTTTTCTTTGTCTTACCTTCTGCAGTCTCATGTTGTTGGTTTTATTTCCTGCTTTTTAACTAAGACTGTAGACTTTTGGGGAGCCAAAGCCTTTCTGGAAAATTGCCTACAGAAGGAGTGTAGGAAAGCTAGTAAATGGTTGAGGCTACTGTCTCACTGACAGTAATTCTGAATAGTTATTGACATATTGAGTGACTGAAATAAGAAGTCATTCTCCAAAGAATATGGAAGTCACTCTAACATGCTTAAGACATGTGAAATATTTATATAAAACTTATGTGAAATAGCAGACAGTGTTCATTAGACATGGAGTGTTATTTAGGGTTCAGTGCTGACTTGCTTTGAGGTGACTTTCAGGTTCTTCTCAAAAGATATTAGAGCTTTTAAAAATTTGTTTTTAATTTTAATTTTAATTTTTTATTTTCAGCTTCAGTTGTACATTGCAGAGGCAGGTAATATTTGATTCTGAATTTATAACTTACTCTTACAACTCTGAACTTTGGACATTTGGAGCAGAAAGCTGGCATAGAAGAAAACAATCTCCTGAAAGAAATGTCTGGACTTGAAATCCATTCTGAAACTGGATCACTTTAGCATTGGCAACTGGCCATTGGTAATCAATCTTCTGACAAAACAGTGATAGAGTGGCTCCTTTCCTTGAGTTAAATAACTCAAACCAAGATTTGGGATCAGTCCCTGGTGCATAAGTATCAATCTGTAAAAAGAGTTGGCCACATTTCTATGAGGAGATATTTTGACAAATACAGTGTAATCTGCAGATCTAAATAGAATCTGAGGGGAAGGGCAGAATTTACATTTCAGCTGACCTTAAGGAAAGAATTTATGTCACACAGGATACAGATAACTTTATGCTGCAGAAATGCACTTGGTAAGGATGCACTTTCTGATGAAAGATTGTCATGGAGTACAAATAGAGACAGCTAGATGCCCTAGAGCATGTATTCTTCACTGATATAATTTCAGCATAGTCTGGTAAACACTTTGCTAATGTAATGCTTAGATGTGTCCTCTGTCACAATAGAGTACAAAATCCTGAACTTTTGTGCTGAACTGTGGGGGCTGTTATTACTACATTTTAATGTATTTCAGAAAAAAACCTCAATGACCTAAGAGGAGCTGTAATATGCTAAACAACAGTGTTTTAAAAGCAGTACTTAATAGAAACGGCTTCCATACAAACTCAAATCCACGAGAACTCACAAGGTTTTTAGTGACATTATGACTGACATATAATAGCAATAATAATAGTTCCAATAGTTCCTGTATGATCCTTACATGTTTTGATATCCTGATACTGTTTTTCAGAATAAAATCTGTAATGTATTTCTTCATTTCAAAACCGAAGGAATACTCTTTGTACCACCTCCTTGAATTTCTGCAAATTCATTCTTCTTATTCACAGAAAATTATTTTACATAAGAAGAAGTACAGACTAAAAAGTTTAGGATTAATTTACACTGGTAAGGAATTTTCTTGCTGCATGTTCCAGTTTTAATCCAGGCCAGGCCAGTAGTGAAAGTCTTTTAGAGCTCGTAAGAAAGTATCTTTTAGAGCTGATAATAAAATGTCAGATGTGCTGATAAGAAATTGGACACATTGGATCATGGAACCATGATCACCCTGCAGTGATGGTGACCTTTTCTAATCTCGTTACAGATCTGAGCTGGAGTCACTTGACAACATCCCAGTCTTTGGTGCCTACTCATGATGGATAATTCCTGGTATCTAGGCTGTACCCAGTAAACTGGCAATCCCTATTCCCTCTGCCAGATTCTGCATGATAACACAATTTGCAACCTAATTAGTAGCCTAATTTCTAGTCCATATACAAGTAGAATCCTAATAATTTGCTTCTGTATTTCCACTCTTTTATTTCTTTGAAAGTGGACTTCTTTAATTTCTTTAAGTATTCCTCTTTTCCTTCGTGGATAAGATATAATGTTGTGTTACTGTGCCGTTTTTTTTTGATGTGCCCAAGGCAGGCAAGAGTGAGAAAGCCCTTGAAGGTTGTCCAGCCTGCTAGGAGAGGATGGACTAATCCATCTTTAGTACCAGGAGCTGCTCTGGAATTTGATCTTCTGGCCCAGTTAAGCCTCTTGTAAGGGTAAATGTCCCCTTCTTGCCTGCCTACAATTTCTTCTCTCTCTTCCTTTACCTTAAGTGTGCAGATGGCTCTATCTGGTTATGTATCTACATTAGTAACTCACTTATTAATAACTTTGTAGTGTGGTTTTCCTCAGTGTTTTATTTAAGGAATGCATGAGGATCACTTGTATGTCTGTCCTTCCACAGCAGTGCAGAAATTCCTATGTTGTTCTTTAGATATGGACCTTACACATCTTGCAAAACAGTTCTTTAACAAAATTGATTCTCAAATATAATTTTGATGTCCTTGTCTCCTAATGGGGTAGATTTCCTTTGAGACTTCCCCTTAAAGAGAAATCCTTTGTTTTGTCAGCATGACAGACACATTTAATAATATGTGTCACTGGAAATAAACATCATGTATTTTATTGGTGTATCTACACATTGAACTGTGGAGGGAGGTGAGGTCAGACATTGAATATGCAAGGCAACAATTGACAATGTAATGTACAGCATTTGCTTGGTGTCCAGCCAAGGATTTGCAATGCTTTTAAAATGGTAAAGCACATAGCAAATATTTGATGTGCCAAACCACAGAAGATGCTTGATGATGCTTATGGAGTGAAAGATACTGTGTTAGTAGTCCCCATAGTGTATTTACTATACTGTACATTTTGCACATGCTATTTATTATACTGCTTGTTTGTAGTCTTTTTCTTCCCATAGTATATTATCATGAACAGAGACCCATTGGGAGAGTTTTCCTTATTGTGCAATAGGAATTGTGCTTCTTGCTGTCTCCTTCTTCCATAAAATCATTATCAGGAATGGACAATGCTGAAGCATTTTATTACCATATAGAAGAGTGTACTGGAAGCAAAATTAGATGTAACAATATCAAAAAACCCCAAAGAGCTCAAACAGAAAACCAAGAGTAATACCCCAAACACAAAGAGAATTATAGTCTTCAGGGAAAGGGAAAAACATCAGGGAGAGCTAAGGTTTTAAATATCTTTTATTCTCCATAAATTAGCTTTCTTGTTTCTCCATTCATTTTTCACCTCCCCATCCCATCCCATCCCATCCCATCCCATCCCATCCCATCCCATCCCATCCCGTCCCATCCCGTCCCGTCTCCACATTTCCTTTGTATTGACTTTTCTCATGCTGACATGTCTGTACTTCAGTTTTCTGCTGCAATGAAGACATGATCTGGCTAGCTGTGAACTCACCAACTCGCTTGCCATGAGCAATGCAGCTGCCAGATCCCAGCATATGCTGGGCACCCTGAAGGTGGGAATGCAATTGCTCTGCTTCTAATAATGTCTAATAACTGGATGCTACATCCCAATGGCATGAAAACATCTGAAGGCTTCCAGGGGGGCTGCCAGTGTGCTTTTTTCTCCAAATTTGTCAGATCCTTGGGGCAAGAGGTGACTTGGCATTTGTTTTGTCTGTGGCCAGATACCCTGGAGGAGGACTGAGTGCTTGCCATATAAATCTGGTCCTCCATTTAAGAACTCTGTGAGAAATTCTGTATTTTGCATTTTTTTTTCTGTAATTTATCCTGAATGATCCCTTGAGTTCTGTTCTGTTTTCACTTGCACTGGTAGACTCAAGCAAATCAGTTGAATTCTATTACAGGGGAGCTAATGTGTCTTTTTAATGTTACCCTCAAAACCAATTAAAACAAAAAAAGTTTGTCTGGTGTTGCCTGGTTTGAATTATTACAGAAATATCTAAGGTCTACATTTGGATTAGTTTTCAGTACAAAAAAAGCCTACAGGACTGGGACTTCTGTTCTTCAAGTTCTTAGGCAACTACTTACTTTTAAGCTTGTGAGTGTCCCATTTGAAGGTGGAACTCTTACTTGCTTAATGTTAAATATGTGTGTAAGAGTTTGTCAGGCTGCAGTCTGCAGCTTCCTTCTCTATGGTTTACTCTGTGTGTTTGCTAGGCAACTTTAAGCAATGCACCTTTATTCTATTTACATCAGCTGTGGATCCATTTCCCCGTGTTTGTGGAAATCCACATTTGGCATTTTCAGAGATGTTTGAGCCAAGTTCAAACCTCAGTGTTTGGATATAGGGTGATGGTAGACACATGTCTTGTCAGTTCCCCAGTTTTGTTATTTTTTAAAATGGATTTGATTATGCACTGGGCTTATATAATGAAAACAGAACTCATTAATCTGGTCTGGGAGGGACTGCGGTTGAAGATGGGAAAGAGAAAAGGATCATGGGGAGAGAGGCAGGGAAGGCTGAGGGAAGACAACCAGCCAATGGTGCTACAGCCAGTGGGGGCAAAAAGTCTGGAAGCAGCATTTCAGAGATTTTTCAAGGATAGGTGATGCAGATGTGTTTCTGAGTCTAGGCTGAGTTCCCTTTCTGCCTGAGCATGAGGCACCCCAAGCAAGGGGCTTTGGAAGCCTGAGAATCCTAGAGTTGTACCTGTTAAAGGCTCCTTTCCTCTCATGCTTGCAACTTCCCAGTGGTCAGAAGATGATACCCAGTCCCTGCTGTAGCTGGGTTCCTCTGCTTCTCAGGGTGAGGGAATAAGAGAGCTAGAAGGATCAAATTGAATGGAAAATAGTAGTACTTTCAAGACTGCATTTTAGATTAAATTAAAATTATTTCATTTTGATGCTAATTTTTTTTATAGATTTGATGACACCATGGGACCTGATCAATGGACAGCCAGGGGTGAACAAAGCCTGTGGATATTTATCTTTGCTAAAGATGTATTTTACAAGTCAGAACTGAAACACTGAATAATTGCAATACCTGGATGTTAGCCAGACAGCCTTGGACAGAGTGGCTGACCAGTCACATCTGTTCTGTGCCTTCTCCACAAGACCTCTTCTCAGGTTAGGAGAAGTAATGAACTTAAACCAAAATGGATAATTTATGGTGATATGCAGAGCATAAAAGGGAAGTAGATTGAAGTTTTTCCAAGCCTAGAAAGTCAGAGGAATTAACTGTAGGTAAAATCTCTCTCTCTGAAGATGAAGGGCAAGATTCTCAATTGATGTACATCTCTGCAACTTGGCATCAGTGAAGCTATGTTGATTTACACCAGCTGAAAAATCTGGAAGGGAACAATGCACTTTTTGTTTAATTTTTATGTGATCGTCAGACAATCCGTCACATTCAGTTGGAGGGGAATAACATTTGGTAGATGTTTAGTCTTGATTTTTTTTTCCTGAAATGGGAAGTGAATTAAATGAAGTGAAGACAGAATAAGGCATTTTTATTATTTGAGCTAGCTGAACAGTCTGAAAAATATTAAATTAAAAAAAAATGTCAAATAAAGTATTTGACATCACAGCAAAATGCAGTTACATGAATTATTTCTTAAAAGAATTGTTAATAGGAATTTAGAGAAATCAGCTGTGCTGGACATGACTAGATTTACAAAGAGTTGGCTGTATGAAACTGTCTGGCTAATCTATCTCTTTCACAGCATATTTTATATAGCCCCTGCCTGTTTGAACCTTTATCGTCCACTGGCATCACTCAGTGCTGAATGTCATCAGAGGACCCAAGGTACAAGGATTATCAGCTCTGTTTTAGGGACTGGAATGAAATTTGGGCTGATGTCTGTCTCTACCTGCTGGGGTCATTTTGCTGCAGTGGTGGAAGTCATGTGCAGGTATTGCTGCCTGCCCTTTACAAACTGCTTGCCCTGAAGGGAGGGTGGTACAGTGGTGGCTGACTCAGGGACAGAGGCACTGTGCCAAAGCAACAGAAATGATTTATGGACTAAAGTCCCTGCTCACCCAAAGGAACAAGTGATTGTAAGGGGCTGCTTTCTGTTTCTGCCTAAGCCTGTTGTCAAAGGTGGTAGGGATGAACAGGCAATGCCAAACTGCTCTCTGTCTCCTCTGCAGGCAGTGTTTGACTGTAAACAGCACTGAAGACCTGGCAGACTTTTTGTCCATCACTGGATGTGCATCAGTTTTGGCACAGACAAGGAAAAGACTTGTGCAGCAAAAGTTTTGGGGCAGGTCATTTCCCCATTCCATTCAATTGAAACTCTGGGACTTCCCATCTGGGACTTGTCCTGCTGTTGGGGAATACATATATTGAATTACCATTATTCCAACCTGACAGTAGGTTACAGTCCAACCTCTATTGCCTTTAAAAAAAACATTTTTTCGGGTGCTACAGTTTAATATGGGAAAAATATTCCTAATGTATTATTCTCAAGGCTACCAGCCAAGCTGTGCAAACCACCCTTGCAGTCAATGGCAAATAGTAGTGTGGGAAATGTACTTCCTCCTTCATAGGCGATTTTGTCAGTTCTAATAATGATATTGTGCATCCAAAATCAGAAAAGAATACAAGTATGTGATGTTTTCAGTAAGGTATGTGTTAAAAGTCCTAAACCTGATCTGGGAAAATCTCAGTGGATTTGGAAATGCTGAAAAAGCTAGGCCTGCCTGCCAGGCAGCATGGCTAGGGCAAATAGCTGGGGAGTCCAGGAGCAGACCTCCTTGCTGCTCAGCAAGGCAGGTGGGGCAGGGTAATGGTGAACCAGCCACCAACCAACCTTGACAGCAGGGAATTCTCAATTTGAAACTAATTTACTCTCTGTGAACATGAGGTTAACCCAGTGTGAACTGTAGTGGGAGAGGAAATGCCAATGAGCACAAATCCCTTTTCTTCAGCACAGGGAACTGGAAGAAAAATTAGATTTTCTGGAAAATTGCTTCTTGAATAAAATGGAGGAGAAATGTTCTTCTCTGGCTTCTCATGATAGGTGAGCAAAATTTGAGTGTGCACTTTATTTGACCTACAAACTGCATGTGGAATGTGTATTTTTTTTGTGCAAGTGTGAAAGGCAATTTAATGTTATGCCCTTTACCAAGAAAGTCAGTTCATCTGGGTTGAAAGTGGAGAGTTTCTTCATGTAATATAGCAGCTGAAGGGAGTGAATATTATGTGGGTTGTGCTGGTACACAGTAGTACACCAAATGTTGCTCGTAGCCTTAGAGGTGTTCAGTCTAATTCAGTGGCTGCCCAACAGGTTTAGTGCCAGAGACCTATATAAGAATATCCTGCTCTTGGACACATAGTTCCTGAAAACATAAATCCCTGTGTGTGGTTACTGCACAACCAGCATCTGACTCATTGCTTCGCAAAGCACTTTTAGTTGCTCGGGAAACATGAGGATATGCACTACACAAACCCAGGAACTGCGGTTCTCCTGTAGCAGTCTACAATCTTGGAGCTGTCAAGAAAACTTTGTTCTCTGTTACCCACACCACAGCCACTAGGAACTTCATGTGATGACCCAAACAGAGCCCTGTATCTCCAGCCACTCTGAATCCACCCCCTTGGTGTTCCAGCTGATGGGGAGCTCTCAAGAGGTGTTAGTAGCACAGTCCACGTCTATTGCACAGTTTTCTTTCCATACAGCAGGGGGTAGTAAAATACTCAGAGACTACATGTGCAAGAAAAGAGCATCAAATAGTAGAGCAACTGAATGGAAAACAAACAAAATGTCTATTTTTAAACTGAGCTAAATCCATATAATTTTCAATAGGGAACCTTTTGAGTCCTTGTAAAACAAGTTCCTTAAGGGTTTGAATGATGCTATTTAAAAGTGTAATGACTTGGCCTGTTAAAAACCCAACATATTGATTGCTGCACTTTGAGGATGAAAGTATTAAACATTTTAATCGTGCTGTGCATGTTTAGGATGCAAACAAAAGTCCTCATTGTGAACCTGCCAATTAAGGTAGCTGCCAATAGGGAAAAGAGACATGCCTGTGGCTTTCTTTGGGTTAGCTGAGGTCATGGCTACAACTAATGCAAAGGTTCTTAAAGAAGTTTGGCATCTGAATGCATGAAAATCCCAAGCAATACTCCACTCTTTCTATTAAAAATTTTCGAGCTGTTTTGGACTGACAACAATGTTTACAGAACAAGATCAAGGCTTTTTTTTTTTTTTCTTCCTTATAGTATTAAGAAATATATAACACTTAAGAATGCAAAGGATAGTCTGAGATGTTAGTGCTAGAAATCCATTTACAGGACTTCTCTTGAGCTTCAGAGTACTGTACATGATCATCACAACCGGGAGCTCCAAAACCATCAAGAAAACCCAGGGGAAGCTGGTGGGAATAGTTATGTACCTCTAGTCTAGGAATGGTTTAGAACTTCACTGTTTCTCTGCTTAGTTTTGAAGTAACAATTTAATTTCTATTAAGTCATTGAGTCCATACTTCTATAGTACCATTTAGCAGTACACAGAGTAACATCACATTTCTCTTCCAAACAGCAGAAAAAAAATCAAACTTCTCATTTCCTTAAGGACTTCATAGAAATGCATAACCTGTGAAGTTGGTTCCTAGTCACGTTCTTACACCAACATAGCCTGATAAAATATAAATCCCAGCACATTTATTGCAGTGTAAGTTAAGAGCAATCTGAATGACTAACACTCAAGGTACACTGGTGTAGAGAGCTGTGAAGAGCTGGGTCTGGCTCACTTTCCCTATTGCAAGACGGAAGCTGTACTTAAATCCATGTATGACATGGGACGTGTTTATTTAACATTTCTGCAAAGGTTTTGAAATTTGCATCTAAATTTTTGTCTGTATTTTTGTCTCAGCTGATGTGGCTTTGTAGAAAGATTCTGAGGAAGACATAGACGTCCTTTGGTGAATGTATACTAAATTTGTGTTATATAATGATTTAAATTTTATTGGTAACTATTACTAAAGATTCCGAAGTAAGTTAAAAAAACAACCTGTAAGCCAAATCTATTTTATTTTCAAGAATCTCCAGCTATCACTCACATGTCCCTGCCAAATGTGTCATTTCTCTTAGCAACAGTTTAGACGACTTTAACAAGTATTTTTAACCTGTAAAAGAAAGTCATAGAGCTCACTTCTGAAAACTGAAGTTCTGTGCAGATACCTAAGGGTTGGATTCAGTGATAAATTGCTTCCCCTCCTGACAAGACCATGAAAGCTTTTCTTACAGGGAATGCTTAGTAATTCAGTGAAAGCGGTTTGGATGGATTTTTGTCTTTCCAGTTGAATCTGGCTTTACTTTCTTTCTAGTATTATAAATTATTGTGTGTGTAATAAAACATGTGCACCTCCTGAGAAAAATGTTAATTCTACAGAGAAAGAGGCTGATTCAAATATAACGTTAGTTGTAGATCTATTTCTCTGTAATTTACCCACACTTTAAATTATCACCTAGGTTATCTTGGAGCAATGGCATCTTGGTAGCCATTGTTTTTACATAAAATGTCCAAAATTTCACTTGCAGTTTTGCCTGCAGACAATCTGAAGTGCAGTCTTTAATGCTCTTTTAGATCCCTTTAAAAACAGATATTTCTGGAATGACAGATGCATTGGAGATAGTTAGCTGGTATTAACCCATCAAAGTAAAAAACTGTCCAGTCTTTTGCAGCCACCTTGTCAGTGGTTTCTGTCATCCCTGTGGGTTGCATAATGCACAGTGATGTGGCAACAGCTGAATCTGGTTGAATGTGTGCCAGAACCACAAATATGTTGCTGAATATAATGTACCTTTTTTCCATCTAATGAGCAAAAGCACAGATGATACACAGGGGTTCTCACATCCCACTCTATCTCTCATTCCCATCTTTGGATTGCCTACCAAGTGCTCCAAGTGCAAACTAACCTCTGAATTTGATATAACAGATGCTGCTATCTCATTTAAACTGTGTCTTTTAAAGACATATTAATACTTAGCGATATCAGTTAAATAATTCTTTACTCTTTACATTTATTTAGTCAGGTGGGTCAGGCATACCTGCAATGAAATCACATTCTTAGTATCCCCTTCTAAGCCTTCTACCACATCTTGTTCTCTTCAAGGCTCTCTTTTAGATGCTGAGTTTCATGGGGCAAGGATTATCTTTATTTATTGCTTATTCAGTGCTAAACACTCTTTCACTGTTTTATGATTAGTTGTAAACTTCCAACAATATACTTATAATAAGAGTTTTACCTGACCAGTGCCTTGCTCTGCAACTGTTTTTTTATCTATTGAAGGAGTCCTTTTAATACCACTGGGGTTTAATTCACAGTTTCTTGAACTTTATTCTGGATTAATAATTTTCTAACAGTAAGTTTGGATTTAAATTTAAAAAAAGTATTCAAAAGGTTATCTTACAATGAGATACTTGTGTGGCCATCAAGAAGGAAAAAGGGAATATGTTCAGTTCCAGAAGGCTCCTGTGTATAGGTAACCTATAGGTTAGATTTGAAATTTAAAAGAAAACAAGAAAGGGAACAGGCTTGAGAACCTATTTTTGTGTCAGATCCACATGACTGGCAGGAATAAGAATGTTGATATCACTAGGGGTGAATATCTTTAATTTTTTGGTCGGAACGGGGAAAGATAAGCTATCAGAAAGGAAGGCTGTAGCAAGTCTGATTTTTGCTGGATTTATAAGAGTTCAGAAGGAAGCTAGAGTAGTCATAAGCAAATATTTTATTTTCAGTATTCCTGGACACATCTTCCATTTAAGGAAGGCTTGGGATAAGGCTGGGGAACTGGAAAAAAACATGTCAGAGAGAGTACTATGGTGTAGGCAGGAGCATATGCTTCATATTAGGTATTCCAGTACAGATTCTTCCTCTCTCTACAGTACATGATAATTTT